TCCTTTTCATGTCCTCGTCTGACTCCTCACTGGGTCATAGGGTTGCCAACCTCCAGGTGGTGGCTAGGGATCTCCTGGGATGACAACTGGTCTCTAGGCAACAGAGATCACTTCACCTCAGCCCTGTAGCTAGACTATCTAAGATGGGGGGGGGCACTAGGGGGCATGACATCACTTCTGGGGTCACAAAAATTATAAAATAAACTCAAAATAGAAGAGGCCCCCCTGCCTCCCATTTTGGGATTGCGCCCACCACCTTGTGTTAGAATTCCAGAAGCACCCACAGGCTCAAAAAGGTTGGGGATCTGTGAACTATGGTCTTCGGGGGAGGAGGAAGGACCACTAAGAAAAAGGCAACACTTTCCACCTGACATCCATCACTTCTCCCTGCTAAGCACCTTGTCCCGAAGGCCTTTTACAGGGAATTGGTGCAAGATTATTGAAAACATGAAGTAGCCACAGAACATATTCTGGCTAGAGATATACTACCTCGGTACATGGAGATTCTACTGAGCCATACCGTCAGAAATATTTTTCCCCCCCTGCATGGCCACTTGCTACTCACGAGGCCAAATCCTTTAACATTTTTGCAGGTTCAGCTTTAGCAACCATTAGAGCACCGTTATAAAAGAAGCTGCGCAACGTTTTCACTTCTAAACCAAGTTTGGGAAACACCAAAGCATCAGCATTCTAAAGCTCTGTGTTAATTTTACTGAATCACCTGATCAATTCTGTCCACAAGCTTGTACGACTGTAAAGATTTGTCCCACTTGGTACGATATTCCGGAAGGTACAAAAATGGAAAAACTTTCTCAGGCGGTTGTTCTATTGTGGCTTCCACGCGGTATCTGGGTCCAATATAGAAACAAGTTATTTGGTTTGTGTTCAGTAAGAGGCTGCCACTCCAAATCCTGCCCCCACCCTTGGTGCTGCCCCCTGCGTCTTTACACCCACCCACCCACCCACCACCACCTCTTGCAGCCACAAAATGGCCGCCATTGCTTCCCTTCAGTCACATAGCGAAGATCCTTGTGTTGTGGTGGCAACTGCTGCCAAAGCAATGTTTTCTTTAAAAAAACAAACTGCGGAGCCAATAAAACTTCCAATGGCCAGTCAGAAGCCTTGTGTCAGCTAGCTGCCATTGAATTCTGTGGAGGGGAAACCCACCCACCCCTCCTATGGCATCTGCGCATGCCTCCTGATTTTGGGGTAATCCTCAATATAGGAAAGTGAAATTTCCCCAGTCTCTATGGTAAATACCATAGAAATTCTGACAGAGTGGTGGGTGCAGCCACAAAATGGCCGCCATTGCTTCCCTTCAGTCACATAGCGAAGATCCTTGTGTTGTGGTGGCAACTGCTGCCAAAGCAATGTTTTCTTTAAAAAAACAAACTGCGGAGCCAATAAAACTTCCAATGGCCAGTCAGAAGCCTTGTGTCAGCTAGCTGCCATTGAATTCTGTGGAGGGGAAACCCACCCACCCCTCCTATGGCATCTGCGCATGCCTCCTGTGTGCCTGTGTGTATCCCTGGGTAATGCATTCCATTCTATGAACGCTAGTGTACGCTTATCTGCAAGATTAACAGGTGTGGGGAAGGAGCCGCTTTGCTTAGACTATAATGAGCTGGACCGTGTGAAGCTTCAATTGTTTATCTTTATAGAAACGTTGCTTCTCAGGCTTTTGGCGCGAAGCGGCCTGAGAACAGCAACGGCCAGTTCCATAAACACAAGTTGAGTTCACACGGGAAACCTAAACAAGCCAGAGCGTAAAGACACAATACCCCATCACACCAGCTGGAGAACCTTGGCAGTTACAGATGCCTAACATGAAAAGAATAACAACTACAGGAGTGAGGGAAAGGCAGGGATGGGAAAGGGACGAGACATATCCCAAGAACATGGCAGCTCGCTGACACATGGCTTTAATAAAATACTACTTTGCTTAAATGTGTATTGGACTTTTAGCTGTGAGGGATCAGACATTCTGCTAAGAATCCCTTTTTCTCCATCGTTCTGAGTCGGCTGATACCAGCATGAGCGGAAAAGAGGAGGAACCCCCAAATACAACCGCGGAGAACGGCAGCAGGCTGGGGACCACAACCCCACCGGTCACAACGACCCCGACAACGGGGGCTGACACGGGAGCGGTTACAAAGTCATCTGCCACAACGATCCCATGGCCATTCACACCGTACAGATTGGCCAGGAGGGCGTGGGATGATTGGAGCCAATTCGATTTGCAAGGCACCCGAGAAACTTTCTCTAAGAGAGGGGGTGGCGTGAGAGAAAGCTTGTTCTAACAAGGACTATATCCGGGCCCGAGCCTGGGCGCCGTGGGGGATCAGTTCGAACAAGCAGAAGAATCCTGGGTAACGGGACGCTTGAAGGACCGAGCGAGCAGGGCATACCCAGGGGAAGGCATGGAAGAACGGGTGGAAGACATCGACCGGACTCTGCAACAGCTGATGCAGACGGTGGGCGAGGGGTTCAACGCGCTCCCGGATTTGGTTGAGCGGACGATCGAGAACGCCTTAGTTAGGCGGGGCGCCCCGCAAGCAGTCCCAGTGGGTCCAGGGCTCCCACACCCCGGACAACCCGCTCAACCAGCGCAGCCGGCGCAACCAGCACAACCGGCGGTTCCAGAGCAACCAGGGGTTCCAGCACCTGCCCTACCCCCCCCCCAGCCAGGGCAAGGGAGACCCCGTCCAAAAGATCTTCTGGAAGCTACGTTTGATGGCAACCCTGAGGAGCGGGTGTACTTCACGGTGCGAGTGCAAAAGTTCATCACGACGCACGGGCACCTGTTCCCAAATGACAGCAGCCGGATCGATGTGGTAGCAGCGCGGCTGAAGGGCACGGCAGCCACTTGGTATGTGGGATTACATAATAGCCGTGGCCCAGAACTACGGGACATGAGAGCATTTATGTGGGCCCTAAGAACCCAATTCGAGGACCTGAATGCGGGCCAAAGGGCAAAAGCTTTTCTGCGCACTTTTAAACAAGGTCGCCAGACGGTACGTGAATACTCAACAGAGTTTCAGAACCAAGCAGCCAAGCTCCCAAACTGGCCAGAGCATGTTCTGGTAGAAATGTATCGAGTGGGGCTGAACCCAGACATCAGAGAAACAGTACTTCACTCAGTCAATCCAGTGTCGCTGATGGCGTGGACCCAAGAGGCAGAGAACGCGGAGAGTCATCTCCAAACCCTACGTCTTGACATGGCGGCAGGAGGAGGGAAGGTGAGCCAACATCCCGTCCCGTTCACCCTGCCTCTAACCAAAAACCGAGGGGCCTGTCAGAAGCGACCCGAGAGCAGAGGATGCGTCAAGGGCTCTGTCTGAAGTGTGGAGAACGGGGCCATTTTGCAGCGGATTGAGGACAACGACCTCAAAAGGAAAGGCCCTCAGCAACCAAGCCGAGACAAGCGACCCCGGCCAAGAAACCGTTGGGAAAACCTAAATTTGCCAAAGCCCTGCAGGCGTCCCCCGAAGAGGACGAGGGAGACTCAAGCGAAAACGAGGCCGAGCTGGTGGGAAACAATCAGGTCCTGCCGTAGATGGCGCACAGCGGCAGGACCCTCCTAAGGAGGCGCCAAGAATGGTGAGCGAACCCCCATCCCTCTTTTTTGTGACTGTTTCTGTGATGAATCCCATCCTAGGCACTCATGTGCGCGTAAAAGCACTGGTTGACTCGGGGTGCGGGAGAGACTTAATTAACCTAGCTGTGGTCTCGGGACTGGAGGCTGGGGTGAAGAAGCTCAAGGAGCCTTTAATATTCACCCAGATGGATGGGTCCCCCATGAAAGATCCTTGCCTATATGAAACTATGCCATTACGACTGGGGGCAGGGGATCACTGGGAAGAGAGGGTTTTCATAATTAACCCCCAAAGCCGATTTTCGTTAGTATTGGGAGCCCCCTGGCTATACAGTCACGATCCATATATACTTTGGGAAGAGGGGAAGATTGACTTTATGTCACCCAGATGCACAAAGCACCGATGGGAACCAGAGGGGGCCCCTCTACCAAACAAAGACTCCCCGTTTGCGCTCCTGACAAGGGAAGAGATTTCCTCACTGCCTGAGGAATACAGGGACTTGGCCCCGGCATTTGGGGAAGAGGAGGCTGACGAGCTGCCCCCCCATAGACATTCGGACTGTAGCATCGAACTGGTACCGGGGGCCAAGTTGCCTAAAGGGAAAATATATGCCATGGGGCCGGCCGAGAAGGCGGAACTTTGGAAGTTCTTTGACAAAAACCTCGCTCGGGGATTTATTCGCCCGGACTCCTCCCCCTTCGCGGCACCCGTCCTGTTCCAGAAAAAGAAGGATGGGAGCTTAAGGCTATGCACGGATTACCGGGGCCTGAATGCTGTATCTGCTACGAATGCTTACCCCATGCCGCTGATTAAAGACTTATTGGCTGAAGCGGCAAAGGGGAAAATCTTTTCCAAACTGGATCTCCGGGATGCATACTTCCGGGTGCGCATCAAGACAGGCGACGAATCGAAAACCGTCTTCAATACACCTTTGGGGCAGTTCGAATACCTTGTTATGCCCTTCGGTCTTCAGGGCGCCCCTGGGGTCTTCATGAACTTGATTAATGAGGTGTTGCATGAACATTTGTTCAATGTGCATGAACATTTGTTCAATGGGAGTACATTTTATTGTACTCCCCCGACCTCCCCTCACACGTCAAACTGGTCTGGAAAGTACTAAAAACGTTGCACAAGCACAAACTCTTTGCTAAGCTGTCAAAATGTGAATTTCACAAAACGCAAATAGACTTCTTGGGCTATCGCATTTCGTCAGCCGGGCTGGAAATGGACCCAGGGAAAATTAAGGATGTGGTGGGGTGGGAGGCACTCAAAACTAGACGGCAATTACAAGCATTCTTAGGATTCGCCAATTTTTATAGAACATTTATAAAAAATTTCGCCCAGATCGCACTCCCCCTCACCGACTTACTAAAAACCAAGGGGAAGGGACTGGATGCCACGAGACCCGGGGCACCTCTAGCTTGATTGGCGGAGTGCAACAGGGCATTCAAGCGCTTGAAAGAACTGTTTACGTCTGAACCAGTATTGGCTCATCCTGATGAGACAAAAAAATTCATTGTGCAAACGGATGCCTCCGATGTAGCTATGGGGGGGCGATCCTCCAGGAAGGGGAGGATGGGTTATTGCACCCGCTGGCTTACATATCCAAAAAGTTTTCAGAGGCTGAGAGACATTGGTCCGTGTGGGAGAAGGAGGCGGGAGCAATCAAGCTTGCATTGTCTACGTGGAGGCATTGGCTAGAGGGGGCGACTGTTCCATTTGAAGTGTGGACTGATCACAAAAACCTTGAAACTTTGAAAACGCCCCGCAGCCTAAACGCAAAGCAACTCCGCTGGGCTGATTTCTTTTCTAAATTTCAGTTCACCCGACACCATTTCCCGGGGTCCGCGAACTCGTTGGCGGATGGGTTGTCACGCCTCCCTCAACATGCCAGTCAAAGGGACGTCATTGTGGACTCAATTTTCACTCCGGTCTAGCTGGGAGGAGCCGTGACTACGAGACAACAAGCCGCGATGATCCCAGCCACTCCTGCTCTGCCTCCATCCCTCCCCTCCCTGCCTTCCCCCCCGCTGACTGAACCCTCCCTTGAACCGCCCTGGCCGGATGCCTGGCGGGCGGGGTTCTCTGAGGAGGACAAGACGATTATACAGGGAATTGAGGGTTGCTTTGAGGGGGAAAATGGCTGTTGGTACAAAGAGGGGAAATTGTATGTGCCCCTGGCATTGCGGGGGGAAATCTTGGAGGCAGCTCATGGTTCCAAGCTGGCAGGCCACTCGGGATTTGTGAAATCTTTGCAATTGCTCAAGCGCCAATTTTGGTGGCCCCACCTGCGCAAGGACTTAACAGCGTTTGTACAGACCTGTCAAACATGTGCCATGACCAAGCTGAGGGGGGGTAAACCCCCGGGACTATTGCAACCCCTCCCAACCCCCTCCAGGCCATGGGAAGTCATCTCAATGGACTTTATTACAGATTTACCACCGAGTAAAACGAAAACTGTCATTTGGGTGGTGGTGGACTTGTTCTCTAAGCAGGCACATTTTGTTCCTTTCCCTTCACTACCCACGGCCAAGGCTTTGGCCAAAGCTTTCTTCAACCACGTTGTACGTCCCCATCTCTTGCCTGCTAAAGTGATATCTGATAGGGGAACACAATTTGTTTCAAACTTCTGGTCAGAACTGATGAACATTATGGGTGTGGAACGGGGACTCAGCAGTGCTTACCACCCGGAAACTGACGGGCAGACCGAAAGAGTGAACCAAACATTGGAACAATATTTACGTTGTTTCACAAACTATCATCAGGATGATTGGTGTGATTTATTGCCACTGGCTGAATACTGTTACAATAACACCTGTCATGCCTCCATTGGCATGTCTCCTTACAAAGCTGCATTTGGTTATGATAGCCCTCCACTGCCGTTTCTGGAGGGACAACCTATCAAACAACCTGGGGATCCCAACGAGTGGTGCGTGGCTTTGCAACAGGCCTGGCCACTGCTTTGCAAAACTTTGAATGCGGCTAAGGCCGTCTATAAGAAACAGGCTGACAGAGGCAGGGTGGAGGGTTGGGCTCTACAGCCTGGTGACTATGTGTATGTGTCCACGAAAAATATAAAAATGCTGCGGCCGAGTAGGAAGTTGGGGTGGAAATTTGTGGGGCCGTTCAAAGTTCGTAAGGTGATAAATAAGGTGGCTGTTGATGTTGAACTTCCTAAGAACCTGAGGTCTTTACATTCTGTATTTCATTTCAGCCTTCTTAAAAAAGACAACGGGTCCTGCGACTGGCGCCAACCGCATCCTCCACCCCCCCTGTTTTGGTGGACGGTGAAGCGCACTATGAAATTGCCGAGATTTTGGACTCCAAACTGAAACGTGGAAAGCTCTACTATTTGGTTGAATGGACTGATTTCGGACCCCAGCACCGAGAATGGGTGGAAGTAGGGGATATTCGGGCCCCTCGCATGCTCAAGAGCTTTCACAAAATGTTCCCGGGGAACCCGGGAGGTCTCCCGACCTGACCGGGAGGTGGGGGGGGGAGTTGGTTTTCGGGAGGGCAGAATGTCAGCTAGCTGCCATTGAATTCTGTGGAGGGGAAAAACCCCCCTCCCTCCTATGGCATCTGTGCATGCCTCCTGTGTGCCTGTGTGTATCCCTGGGTAATGCATTCCATTCTATGAACGCTAGTGTACGCTTATCTGCAAGATTAACAGGTGTGGGGAAGGAGCCGCTTTGCTTAGACTATAATGAGCTGGACCGTGTGAAGCTTCAATTGTTTATCTTTATAGAAACGTTGCTTCTCAGGCTTTTGAGCGCGAATATGAAAGTCTGCCCGCGCGGCGGGAACCAAGCTTATTGGTTATTATCAGTTTGAATGTCTTTCATTATCCCCTGTTCAGCCCGTCCCAGGTATTCTTAACAGTTCACTTGTACCTGCTCTAACATATGGCTTTAATAAAATACTACTTTGCTTAAACGTGTATTGAACTTATAGCTGTGAGGGATCGGACACCTTGGCAGGCAAAAGCCTCACCTGGTCCTGCCGAATTCCTAAAAACACTTGGCTGGCACCAGGAGAAGTGTCAGCAGGTGCCAAGGTGCCCAAATGCACTGTGTTGGGGACCCCTGTCCTAGAGCATCATTCAGCGTTGTGATGCTGTGTCCCTACCTGTTTGTGCTCCCGCTGCCCCATCAACCAGCCGCGGGGACAGGAGAGTGGGGATGGGGGGCAACCTGGCCATATCTAGGAGCGGGGTTGCCATCCCCCCGCCCCAAACTCCATCTTCCACTGCAAATCACCTGGCCAGCAGGGGGATTTACCAGGAACTGGAGGAGATCCAGGCTATGTAGAAGCCATTCTTACCATACAGGTGTTTTTTCAGAAATACCAGAGTGTTGCCATGGTATGATGATGTCACTGCCACATCACCAGCAACGAAGAAGAAGAGGAAGAAGAAGAGGAAGCAGGAGGTGATTGGATTTATTCCCCACCCTTTGCTACCCAAGAGAGTCTCAGAGCGGTTTACAATCCCTTTCCCTCCCAACAACAGACACCCTGTGAGGTAGGTGGGGCTGAGAGAGCGCTCTAGAGAACTGCCCTTGAGAGAACAGCTCCGTAAGAACTTGTGACTGACCCAAGGTCACACCAGCAGCTGCTTATGGAGGAGTGGGGAATCAAGCCCCGTTCTCCCAGATTAGAGTCCACGCACTTAACCACTACACCAAACTGGCTCCCTCCCACTCCTGGTAAATCGGTTAGAGTTAGGGTTGGGGTTATTAGGGTTAGGGTTATTTGGGTTAGGGTTAGGATTATTAGAGTTAGGGTTAGGGTTATTGAGGTTAGGGTTATTAGGGTTAGGATTGTTAGGGTTAGGATTGTAGGGTTAAGGTTAGGATTATTAGGGTTAGGGTTGGGGTTATTAGGGTTAGAGCTTGGGTTATTAGGATTAGGGTTAGGATTATTAGGAGTAGAGTTAAGGTCATTAGGGTTAGGGTTAGGGTAAGGGTTATTAGGATTAGGGTTGTTAGGTTTAGGGTTGTTAGGGTTAAAGTTTGGATTTTTTAGGGTTAGCATTATTAGGGGTTGGGTTAGCATTATTAGGGTGAGGGTGAGAATTTTTAGGGTGAGGGTTATTAGAGTTAGTGTTAGGGATTAAAGTTAGGGTTAAGTTTATTTGGGTTAGGGTTAGGGTTATTAGGGTTAGGATTATTAGGATGAGGGTTATTACGGTGAGGGTTAGGGTTATGGTTGTTAGGGATAGGGTTAGGAATTAGGGTTAGGGTTACGGTTATGGATTAGGGTTGTTACAATTAGGGTTACTTTTAGGTTATTAGGGTTAGGGTTAATAGAGGGTTAGAGTTAGGTATTAATGTTAAGGTTAGGATTATTAGGGTTAGGGTCAGGGATTAGGGTTAGGGTTGTTAGGGGAGTTAGGATTGTTAGGGTTAGGGATATTAGTGTTAGGGTTTGGGATAAAGGGTTAGGGATATGGTTAGGGTTATTAGGGTTTGGATTGGTTTTATTAGGAATAGGGTTATTAGGGTTAGGGTTATTAGAGTTAGAATTATTAGGGTTTGGGTTAGGGATTAAAGTTAGGGTTAGGGTTTTTTGGGTTACGGTTATTAGGTTTAGGATTATTAGGATTAGGGTTAGTATGATTAGAGTTAGGGTAGGATTAGGGATTAGGGTTATTTGGGTTAGAGTTAGGAATATAAGGGTTAGGGATTAGCATTAGGGTTGGGGTTAGGGATTAAAGAGGGTTATTTGGGTTAGGGTTAGGGTTATTAGGGTTAAAGTTATTAGGATTAGGGTTATTAGAGTTAGTGTTAGATTTAGGGATTAGGGTAAAGGTTATTAGGGTTAGGGGTTTTAGGGTTGGGGTTATTAGTCCGCTGAACATGCGGGTGTATGAAGTGTGTAGGTCTAAACCTCATTTTGCATACAGAGGGCACTTCTTTATTCAAATCTTCTTTGAAATCTAAGCCCTTGGGAGGCACTCCGAATAGAAGCTCATGGTGCCAGAACCAGTGTTTGTACCGGGCATCACTGTATGTCATCTTGCAGGGGACAGTCTCCAGAGCGTGGGGATGTGTCAGTTGGGGTGGTTCAAAGACTGTTTTGGGGTGCAGCCAGGCCCCACTGTCTGGCTGTGTGATGTCCCTGGGGGCACCTCACTTTGGAGCAGCTGGCACAAGAACCGCCCTTTGGACCAGAACACAGCATATGTCTCCTCGAAGGGGAGAGTTCACTGAACATGGAGCTGTATGACCCGTGGTGGTTCAAACTACATCTGGGATGTAGTGGCAAACAGTCAAACCAGTTCCTTATTCAAATCTTTTTTTTGAAATACAGGCTTCTTGCGTGCACCTGAAATGGAAGTTTGTGGCTCCAGAACCAGTGTTTGGACCGGGCATCACTGTATGTCATCTTGCAGGGGACAGTCTCAAGAGCATGGGGACGAGTCCTTTGGGGTGGTTCAAAGATTGTTTTGGGGTACAACTTGGCCCCAGTGTCTGCCGGTGTGATTGTTTTGGGGGCGCCTCACTTTGGAGCAGCTGGCACAAGAACCACAGCATATGGGGAGAGTCCACTGAATTTGGAGGTGCTTGATGTTTGGCGGTCCAAATCTTATTTTGGGGTTCAGAGCTTTCAAACTTTCCTCAGTGTTTTTGGATGAATTCATGAATAAGATGCAAATAAGGAACCAACTTCAGCCTCGTTCACCAAGCCTGTATGGTTATGGCCTCTGTCATTAACACTCCTCCAAAACAGCAGGACTTTCTTGATCTACTTTGCTCACAGATATTTTCTGCACGGAGGAAAAGTTTCTACTTATTACACTGAAAGCAAAGCTGACGTACTTACATATTTCCTGGGTAGTCTGTTGATGGTCTCGCTGACACGGTAATAAGTTTCTCAGGTGGGTACGAAAGGAAAGAGAAAAATAATCAAATGCCTCTGCTTCAGAAATACCAGTAATGCAAGTGTGAAACTAAACCATTTATTAATCTTAGATTTAAAGTAGTTATTTCTTAAAGGTAAAGGTTCCCTTGCTCGAAAGCCAGTCGAATCCGACTCTAGGGTTGCGGTGCTCATCTCCGTTTCAAAGCCGAAGAGCCAGCGCTGTCCGAAGACGTTTCCGTGGTCATGTGGCCGGCATGACTAAACACCAAGGCACACGGAACGCTGTTACCTTCCCACTGAAGTGGTACCTATTTATCTACTTGCAATTTCTTGCTTTCGAACTGCTAGGTTGGCAGGAGCTGGAACTAGAGACGGGAGCTCACTCCGTCATGCGGCAACCCAGGTCTCGAACTGCTGAACTACTGACCTTCCACAGCCTGCAGTGGAAGTCTAATTTCTAAGTTGCTCCGAAGGACTACTCTGGCCACCTGTGGCAAATAAGAATTCTCTCCTAGTTACCAGACTAAAAGTTTTACCAAAATCTAGGTGTTCAT